TCCCTCAAATATGACTTCACAAATAAAAATCTCAAAACACAAGACAACAGGAAATAAGGCACCATGCATGAGAATGAGCAGAAATCATAAATAGCAGAATGAGGCCCACAGAAACTGTGGTTATTAGAATTATAATACAGCATATAAATATGTTTAATATAGTAAAAGAAAAAGTAATGTATAGCTGAAGAATAAGAGACAATAAAAATGACAAGATAGACTTTACATTTTTTTTGGCAGCTGGCCGGTATGGGAATTGAACCCTGGATCTTGGTGTTCTCAGCAGCATGCTCTAACCAACTGAGCTAATGGGCCAGCCCAACAAGACAGATTTTAAAAGGAACAACCAATTTCTAGAAATTTAACATAGTTAAGTAATTAAAATAAACAATAAATAATCACACATAATTAAAATTGTGATATATATGCAGTGAAGGAAGATAAAGGGTGCCATGAAAACATAATGGAGTATTGTAGACTGAATTGTGTCCCCCTTCCGCCCAAATTCATATGTTGAAGTCCTAACTCCTAGGACCTCAGAATGTGACTGTATTTGGTCTGTGGGCATACCACTCTGAACAGGCCCAATCTGGTCTGATCTCAGAAGCTGAGTAGGATCAGGCCTGATTAGTATTTGGATGGGAAAATATGACTATATTTGGAAATAGGGTCTTTAAAGAGGTAATTTAGGTTAAATGAGGTCAAGATGGTGACCCTAATGCAATGTGACTGGTGTTCTTATAAGAAGAGATTAGAATATAGACATGCAGAGAGAAGACAATGTGAAGACACAGGGAGAAGACAGCCATCTAGAAGAGATCTCAGAAGAAACCAACTTTTGACACCTAGCTTCCAGAACTGTGAAGAAATAAATTTCTGTTGTTTAAGCCACTAAGTCTGTGGTATGTTATTATGGCAACCATAACAAATTAGTACACAGAAGATTTATCTGATTGTCCTTTGACGATTTCTCTTTTCCTGTTCACTCCTTAAATATTGGTATTCCTCAGAGTTCCATATGGTCTTCCTTTCTTTCTCTATATAGTTTTCCTGGATGAGAAAGGGCTTTAATGTTAGACCTGAATTCAAATGCTAGCCACCATTTAAAAGTTGAATGTAGATAAGTTCCTGAATCTACATTTAATTTTCTTTTCCTGTAAAAATGGGGATAAGAATGTGCTATGTATCTCACAGAGTTGTTGGGAGGACTAATAATAATGATGATAACAGTTACCTTTTATTCAGTTCTAATTATGTGCAGGGACTGGGCTAATTGTTTTACTTTCATTATTCATTTACTTTTCATAACCCAGCAAGGAAGTTATTTTACTCATTTTATAGATGTGGAAACAGACCAGGAAGATTAAATAAATTGGCCAGGATCACTCAGCTTTTAAAGGGCAGAAGCATATTCAAACCCAAATGCATCTGACATCTATGCTATCGGGCTAGCCAGTTAACTCAGTTGGTTAGAGCACAACTTTATAACACCAAGATCACACACAGGTTTGGAAATAAAATTTAAAAAGCCTATTCTCTTAGGGCCAGCCCGTGGCTCACTTGGGAGAGTGTGGTGCTGATAACACCAAGGCAACGGGTTCGGATCCCATATAGGGGTGGCCGGTTAGCTCACTTGGGTGAGCGTGGTGCTGACAACACCAAGTCAAGGGTTAAGATCCCCTTACCGGTCATCTTTAAAAAAAAAAAAAAGTCTATGCTCTTAACCATTGTAAATGTAGCTGAATTTTAGACATACAATAGAAAGGAATTTGTCCTTGATTTCCATTTCATCAGAAGAGAGCCTCAGCAAGGACAGGAGCATTCTCTGTGTGAATGTAAGAGCATTCCCAAACTCTTCTCATGAAGTCTGTCTACCTCGATATCCCACCCCCAGTCCCTCACATATGGTTTTCCTTCCTAAGAAAATTGAAGCCATCAATTATGAGTACCCTACCCATGCACACCAGATTGTCTGGCATTTAACAGATGCTCAGTAAATGTTAATTTTCTTCTTTTTTAAACTGCAATCTACCTCCTAATAACTCCTGAAACAATATTTGTAGCCCTGACCATTCCTGTGGCCTTAATCCTGCATTTCCAACTGCCTCTTTAATTCCTTACCTACAAGTCTCACAGGTACTTTAGACTCAATATGTATCATCTTCCCCAACAAATCTCATCTTCCACATACCCTTACCTCGTTTAAAAGAATCATTAGTTGCCCGGTCTCCCATTATAGAAACCTTGGAAGTTATCTTAGATTCCTTCCTATCTCTTATGTTACACATCCAACTAGGTATCAGGAGTCTAGAAGTTGGTCTGCCTGTTGATCTTGTGTAATATGGATGCCTATTGTATGATGTCACACTCTTGGTCATCAAGCCCTATAAACTCTCCCTCCACAGTATCTCTAAAGTATTCTTTCCATTTCTGCTACCACCACCCAACTACAGGTCACCATTATTTCTTGATCATCACGTTGCAGTAGCCTCCTAAATTATTTCTTTGCTTTCAATCCTTTCTCCCTTATTCCATTCTTAAAAAGTTATAAAACTAAATTAGAGCACACAACATGTTCCTCTAGTGCCCAGTGGTTCCCAATTGCCTAGAAGAGTTCAAAGCTCTTTGACTAAATTTCAAAGCCCTCAATAATACAGCCCATCCCACTTTTCTAGCCTTTATATATCCCATGTCAGTAAACATTCAGATTCCTCCATTCAAAGTGGTACATCTGCCATAGGTCAGGCATGGATAGGGTTATAAAGGGAAACAGGATAAGTGTTCTCATCAAGTAGACAGCCAGTGAAAGAGATTAATAAAATTAAGAGTAGCCAGTGTGAATGCAGTAAAACCAGGAGTTTGTGGTACCCTAGAAGGCACATGAAGAAAGTGTTTCCAGAAGGGAATGATCACCTATGTTAAATACTGCTGAGAGGTCAAGTAAAAGGATGACTGCAAATTGACCACTGAGACTTGGTCACATGGAGGTCATTGATAATACTGACAAGAATGGTTTCTGTGGAGTGGTGGGAATGAAAGTTTGTTTGGAGTGGGTTCAAGAGAAGAGGTGAGGAGGTTGAAGATTTTTGCTATAAAGGGGAGAGCAAAGAAATTAGGTTCTTAAAGATGTGAGAGAGATGCAAGTTTGCATACTGATGAGAATGGTTCCACAGAGATGAAATTGATGAAGCAAGAATGTAGAGGGATAACTGCAAGTACCTGAATTGGCAAAGTAAATGGAATCCAACGCACAAGTGAAGAAGCTGGTCTTAGATAGCAGAGAAGGTTTATTCATTTTAACCAGAGGAAAGGCAGGCAGAATGGGACTAGAAGCACTAAATTAGTAGATTTGGTGGTGGGAGATGAAGTTTTTCTTTTCTGATTGTTTCAATTTTCTCAGTGAAAGAAGTCAGCTGAGAGTGAGGAAGGGAGAAGGGGGTGGTATTGGAGGTTTAAGGGCAGAAGGAAAGGTGTGCAATAGTCATTTGGGAGCACAGGAGAATGAACTGATTATGGAAATGCAACAGGATTGCTCAGCACTGGATTTCTGGATATAAAGTAAAACCTGGATTTTCTTTTTCAGCCTCCAAAAAGGAAAAGCCATTGCTCTTGCTATTTCCTCAATTTCTCCCTTTCACTACCTGATAAAACAGCTATCTCCTCCCAGCCCAAAGTGAATTTTTTAACCTCTCAACTCGAATATTAAGTTGTTGCTGCCTCCTGTAGAACATATACTTCATCTCACATTACAGTTAGTTGCTGTTCAAGTTTAGAAGTTCCTTAAATAGAAAAAAACACTTTTTATTCACTACAACCACAGAATGTTACTCTTCAATCCGAGATCTCTGCCACACATAAATCCCCATGGTACAGGGTCCTGCCCAAAAACATAATTGTGTGGTATGGGTGCCCTATCTCTTTATTAAACCATGATATTTTGGGGAATAGGAACCTTGCTCACCTTTTCTGCTTATGTCCCTCTAATATGTTCCTCAGCTAATTCTATCTTTACAGATCTTTTAACAAAAATAGGTTTGCTTCAATTAACATTAAGTGACATATTGGCATTTAACAGGATCCTTGTTCTCATGGGGTTTACCCCTAGAGTCAAGTGTCAACTGTTTTTTGTTTTGTTTTGTTTTCCGGCTGGCGGGTAGGAGGATCCGAATCCTTGACCTTGATGTTATAACACCGGGCTCTGAGAAACCGGCCAGCCCTCAAATATGTCTTATTATCAACACAAAAATAAATGGTGTCAAAACTCTCAGAAAAGATGCTAAAGGAGTAAGGCTTATATATAAATAGCACCAGAGACTGTGGGATAGAGATGGTGGATGGCAGAAAGCAAGCAGTGAGGCTGGAATACAGCTTAGTTGTGGCAAAACAATTTAGCTTCGTCCACTTACGTATGAATGGTTCTTTAGGGCAGTCCATGGAGCGTCCCCATCACCAAACACTGTTGGACTGAGAGCAGAGAGCTGCGGATGTGCAAAATAACTGCAGGTCCCCCAACAGAGCCCTCTAACCTCATCTAAGACTATTCCCCATCCATCACAGAACTTCCCCACCCCCCTTCCTCAACCTTTTGGTGATTTAAGACGTAGTAAAAAATAAAATAAGACATAAGTTTGGTAAAAAAAAAAAAAAAAAAAAAAAAAAAAAAAAAAAAAAAACCCTCTGGCACAAATGCAACAAGAGCTCACGGGTCAAGACTTGGGGAAGTACCGAGGTAGCCAAGCCACACCGAGGCCCCAGGTCTGCACGCGGAACCCACGAGCCCAGGCGCTGCGAGTCGTAACCGGCAGCCAGTTACGTAACCCGCAGCCAGAGGCTCGGAGAGCCGGAAGGCCGCGCCACGCCTGGCCCGGCGGCCGGTAGGTGCCATGCGCAACTCTACGGAAGCTTCCGCCCCTTTCCCCTTTTATGGCAACGCTTTTTTCTTGAGTTCGCTGACGCCAGAGTAGGACTGTCCAAAACCGTGGTCTAGGAGGGCCTCTCTCACTCTTGACTTCCGCTTTAAATAAGGAGTCAGGGCCTTCCCCGTTTTTCTCCCAGGCGGCGGTGGCGGCTGGCGATGTTTGGCCTCAAAAGAAACGCGGTAATCGGACTCAACCTCTACTGTGGGGGGGCGGGATTGGGTGCCGCCGCCGGCGGTGCCACCCCTCCGGGAGGGCGGCTTTTGACTGCGGAGAAGGAGACCACGGCCCGGCAAGAGGGAGGGGGAGGGGAAGCCAGCGCGGAGGTTGGCGGAAGCGTCGGCGCGAGCCCCCCGGCTGCCCTCACGCCCGACGCCCGGAGGGTCGCGCGGCCGGCGCCCATTGGCGCCGAGGTCCCCGACGTCACCGCGACCCCCACGAGGTTGCTGTTCTTCGCGCCCACCAGCCGCGCATTGCCGCCTGAGGAGATGGAAGCCGCCGACGCCATCATGTCTCCCGAGGAGGAGCTGGATGGGTACGAGCCGGAGCCTCTCGGGAAGCGGCCGGCTGTCCTGCCTCTGTTGGAGTTGGTCGGGGAGGCCAATAATGGCCCCAGCACGGACGGGTCACTCCCCTCGACGCCGCCCCCAGCAGAGGAGGAGGAGGACGAGTTGTACCGGCAGTCGCTGGAGATTATCTCTCGCTACCTTCGAGAGCAGGCAACCGGCTCCAAGGACGCGAAGCCGATGGGCGGGTCTGGGGCCGCCAGCAGGAAGGCGCTGGAGACCCTACGACGGGTCGGGGACGGCGTGCAGCGCAACCACGAGACGGCCTTCCAAGGTAAGGGGTTTGGTTAGTGACCAGGGCCGCACTCCTTTTTTCCCATCTCTCCCTGGACTCACCCACCGAGGGTGGGTGGAAACCGAAACGACTCAGTGTTGAAACGAGTCTCATCCTATTTCTGAAACCAGAATATTCTGGCCATGAGTCATTGTTTCCGCCCATCTTGATCCTTTTGGAAATGGCAGCTCTGTTCAAAGACCGGAAAGGGTGGGATGTCAATTTTCAAGTAGGGTCGACCTGAGTTCTATAGAGTCCAAATTGCGATTTCCCCCGCCGTGGGTGGGCGGGCGAACGTGCCCCAGTTTAGACAAAGGAGGCCGTGAGGACCCGCATGCTTTTCTTCCTCTCAGGCATGCTTCGGAAATTGGACATCAAAAACGAAGACGATGTCAAATCTTTGTCTCGAGTGATGGTCCATGTTTTCAGTGACGGCGTAACAAACTGGGGCAGGATTGTGACTCTAATTTCTTTTGGTGCCTTTGTGGCCAAACACTTGAAGAGCATAAACCAAGAAAGCTGCATCGAACCATTAGCAGAAAGTATCACAGACGTTCTCGTAAGGACAAAACGGGACTGGCTAGTCAAACAAAGAGGCTGGGTAAGTTTGCTTTAAGGTTGAAGGGGGCTTGGAGTGGAAATGGAATGAAGGATTTTCTAGAGAAGGTGAGAATATCTAAAGGTTTTTGTGACGTATGACTGTTTCCAGGCTGTAACTCCTGGACCTCTGGTTACTTGATGTTAAGTAGTGGGTCCCTAGGGATAGTGGCTTGGTGGTCTTCAATTGTATCAAAAATCTTGGTTTTCTGTAGGCTATTTTCGTTGTAATTCAGTTGGATACTCTTCTTACCAGTGGATTCAAACCATGGAGAAATAAAAGTCTTCTGGGGATGATAGCTAACGTTCCTCGTTTTAATTGACTAGGTGGGGGGGGGAGTAGCCTGCGTTTTAAGTATACACCCAGATGGTTCTGTTGCAGGATGTCTTTAACCACGCTGAGAAAGACTGCTCTTCGCAGTTGAGATATTTAGATGGTGGGGATATAAGAATAAGGGTTTTCGTCTTTTACCTAAATAACAGGAACTCTTCAAAATTCCTTTGCCTAGATAATCCTAATATGACCAAGATAGTACTGTAAAATCAAATCAAATTTAACTATTATGAGTGCTCACTTACTGAACTGAAGAACTCAGGAAACGTCTATTTTTGCATCCCAGTAGTGAATAATAATTGGTTCGTCATTGTTTTGGGAACCTTAGGTATTTTAATTTATCTTTTATTTGTATATAGCGTTCTTATGACAGCAGAAACCCATACTTGAAAATGTGCTTTTCTTTTTTGTTTTCTAGGATGGGTTTGTGGAGTTCTTCCACGTAGAGGACCTAGAAGGCGGCATCAGAAATGTGCTGCTGGCTTTTGCAGGTGTTGCTGGAGTAGGAGCTGGTTTGGCATATCTAATAAGATAGCCTTGTAAGTGCAATAATTGACTCTTAACCAACTCCAGCCACCAAAACCACATACTTCTGTGAAATCAAATGTATTTATGAAGTTGGACTTCAAACTGCCCAGGCTGTAATCTCCAAGAGTTCTATTCTAGCAGCCTAGCCAGAAAAACAAGTGGCAAGAGGATTATGGCTAACAAGAATAAATACATGGGAAAAAGTATTCCCCCTGGAAGAGTCACAGTCTGAAAGAAGCAAATTTCAGTTCAGCAGCAAGCAAACTTGTTTGAGAGGCCATGGAGAAGGACTTTTTAGATTTAGTGAAGTTGATAGGGTGGAAAGACTTAATTTCCTTGTCTAGAACAGGAGGGTGGCCAGTAGCTAGGCTAGTCATAGAATTCATTAAATATTCCCACCAAATTCATTAATTTTCTATAGTGTTAGAAGCACTAACAATACCAGTGACCTGTGTAAAATGGATCTAAAAGTCCAACTGTTCAGGACTTTTATACCTGTTCTACTTTGGCTTGGTTTGAATGATTCTTAGTTTATTATCCTAGTAATGGCCAAGAATACTTGACTTAAGGCTCAGTAATTAGTTACCAATACGTAATATCCTCAATTTTTAAGACAAGAAAACTTGTAAATGTATTTGTCTGTAAAAATTGTATATATTTTTACAGAAAGTTTATTTCTTTGAAACAAAGGAAGGAGAGTTTTGAATTTACATAGTTTTTTTCATACCTTTTGAAATTTGCAACTTCTGTAGTTAGAAACCTATTTCTTACAGCTTTTGTACTTTGTCTTGCTCAGTTTCTAGATTGTGTAAAGAACCAATTGGTGTAATTGTATGCAACCAGGTTGTAGTAGAACAAATCTGATTCATCACTATGCAGGCTTTAATTTTCCTATCTGGTTTTGGTAAGTATTTCTTAGGTTTTTTTCGAAAACCTGGGATTGAGAGGTTAAGGAATGGAAATTAACTTCGTTATGCAGGTTTTCAATAATTAAGTCAAAGTGGAGTTTTAAGGTTGTGGGGGAGACACATGATTTACAAATAATAGGCTCTGATTGGGTAGCTACTCATTGAGTTCCTTCTTCCATTTGACTTAATTTAACTGGTGAAATTTAAACTGAGTTCATGAGCTCATCTTTAAAGCTTTTACTAAAAGATTTTCAGCTGTTCAAAATGGGGGACTTATTACCAATGTGTGTATAAAAAGATCACATCGGGTGGATGCGAGACATTTGATCCCTTGTTTGCTTAATAAATTGTAAAATGATGGCTTGGAAAAGCAGGCTAGAGTCTGACCATGGTGCTATTATTAGGCTTGCTTGTTAAACACAGGTCTAAGCCTAGTGTATCAATAAAACAAATACTTACTGTTTCATTTGTATCAGTGATTCCCAAACTTTGTTTCAAGTTTTTGCATTGACATCTGTTTGGATTTGAGACTTGATGTTCTATTGAATTTATCTTTTATTTCCTGTCCTTCCTTTGGAATATTTGCTGCTTGTTCTGTTCCTTCTACAGATACTTATATCAATTCCTGCGTCTTTGCCCTGCCATCCCTGTACTAACCCTTTTAATTTTTGGAACTAGGAACCCCTACTGGGAACCTAAGTGGAACCCCCCCCCCCCAATCAACAGACCTTCATTTTTACGAATCTTATCCTGTTGGGAGGCGGTAATGCCTTGGTTGCTGTGATGTAACAGTCATGGGGGTGGGAGTTCCTTTTATTTAGACTGGTATCTTTTCAATTGTTTCTTTGGGGGAAAAGATTCAAGAGTCCTCTTAGGAATTTTCAGAGGAGAGAACATCTTATGTGGCTTTCTTTAAAGTTTCCTTTGCATTTGAGTATGCTCAGTTCAATTTATAGAAAGAGATGAGCTCTGTTAAACTTCAAAAAGTTATATGAAAACTACTGGTAAACTGAAGAAAGCTATGTTGAATATTGGAACTAGGGTCATTTTTCTGAAAGCATATGCCTCAAAACATGACCTTCAATCTGGGGACTTCAGATAAAAATAAGCATGAATAAAATGACTAAGAATGTAACGGGGAATAATTGCCCTGCCTGCCCATCTTGGAGCCATAGGGTCATCTTGTTAGAGCTATTTTTTCCTGTGTATTTATCATTCTTGATCAGAAGCCACTTATTTATATCATGTCTGTCTCTAAGGACCTAAAGCACTTTATGTAGTTTTTAATTAATCTCAAGATCTAGTTAAAGTGTCTCAAAGGCCTGTCTCCCCATATCCAGTTCTGGAAATAAGTGTATAGATGTAAATTGGTGTTTAGGGGCCCCACTTCCCAATTCAGTAGATGTAACTGCTGAAATACAGGATTCTTAGTATTTCAGGTCCCGGGCAGTGAGGGATTTTAGGGGCCCCATGTAGTCTGGAAAAGGAGAGGGGCAGTTGGTTTATAGGGAGAGGAGTTATGTCTAAGTGCTGACTAGCTGGCCAATCCTCCAGAATGGAAAGGGAGGGGCTCTTGGAAAGATGGCTCTCTCAGCGACTTGTGTTTGTTCTGTGCTTCTCTCAGGGAAAAACATGCAGTTCTATAGTGTTGTCCATGTACATTCTATTAGGGGTGAACACTTTGGTTCTGGTTAAACAGCTAGTACTTTTTACAGCTGTGCCAGGAAGGGTTAGGACCAACTATGAATTAATGTGGGTTGTAAAATGTAGTGTGTTTCCCTAACTTCCTGTTTTTCCTGAGAAGAAAATAAATCTTTTATTCAAATACAAGGTGTGGTACGGGTCTTTTCTAATCAATGTCTGCCTTTCCCCTTAGGCAAACTTATTAGGGAAGTCAACTGAGAATGTATATATAGGTGAATTAATTAACAAAAGCAAAAGCCCCACAAAGCTGATTTGCCTTAGAGCAAAGGACAGTTCCCTTCTTTCATTCAAATTAAGAGGTGTGAATTTTTAAGTATATTACTGCTGTGCTTTGGAGTAGTTCCTGTACATTTTAACTCCCCTCCCGTTAACTTTTTTTTTTTTTTTTTTTGGTGGCTGGTCAATACGGGGAATTTGATCCCTTGACTTTGCTGTTAAAATACCATGCTTTAACCAACTGAACTAACCCACTAGCCCTTAACCTTTTGACATGAAGGAGCTAAGAGAATAACACCTAAAGTTGTATTGAAGTTCTTAGTACCGTTTCAGTGCTTTTCCTCTTTCCCTCTCCCAAAGAGAAGATGAGAGAAAGCAAGTCAATTTCAAAAGAGCTCTCCAAGTCTTTTTTTTTTTTTTTTTTAAAGATGACCAGTAAGGGAATCTTAACCCTTGACTTGGTGCTAACCGGCCATCCCTATATGGGATCCGAACCCATGGCCTTGGTGTTAGCACCACACTCTCCCTAGTGAGCCATGGGCCGGCCCTCCAAGTCTATTTTGAAAGGGAACTGAATCACCATGGAAATGTGCAAATGTGAGGTTTGCATACTGGTTTTGAGCCCTGAGCATCAAATGCTAATCATGCAAACAAGATTCTGTACGTTCCCCCATTCAGTTTTGTCTATTTAAAAGTGCATTTTGGGGGGCCGGCCTGTGGCTCACTCGATAGAGTGCGGTGCTGATAGCACCAAGGCCACGGGTTCGGATCCCATATAGGGATGGCCGGTTCGCTCACTGGCTGAGCGTGGTGCTGACAACACCAAGTCAAGGGTTAAGATCCCCTTACCGGTCATCTTTTTTTAAAAAAAAGTGCATTTTGGCTTGGAAGCCACACTTTCTAGAGCCCAACTACCTAAAGGCAGCAACTTTCTGTCATTACAAAGAAGGCTGTTTGTTCAAGTGGACTACCAAGCAGAGGGATGGTGGGAAAGGACCCGAGGGCCCAAGTTTTGGTCTGAGTCAGATTTGCCCAGTGCTGTTCCTCCCACTGATGTGTTGTGATGTGAAGCTGTTTCTGTGGCAATATTCCTTAGTTCAGCCCCTTAAAAACTTGGGTCAAATAGTAACCAAGTAACCTGAGTCACTGGAAGAGTCAGAGTAGTCACTTCCTTTTGACACAACCAGACTTTTTCTTTCAGTTCCTGTTTTGCAACTTTAGAACCAGGTCTTGCTTCATACTGTTTCTTTTCAGAAAATTTTTCTTTACAACAGTTATGACACCTGGAGGATTTTACAAAAGCTAAAATTGAAATAACATACAACTAGTATGTAGCATAGCTCCTGTCAGATGCCCAAAGCACGGGCCATTAGTTCCTGGAGTTCGGGGGCTGGACTGTGGCTCACTCACCAAGTCAAGGGTTAAGATCCCCTTACCGGTCATCTTTAAAAAGAAAAAAAAAAAAAAAAAAAAAAAAAAAAAAGATGGTCAGCTGAGTCTCAATACTAGTTCTTTTTTGCTTCACTTTTTCAGTGATTACAGAACTTTACAGAACTTTGTCTTCTCTTTTTCTTTTCTTTTTTTAAAGATGACCAGTAAAGGGATCTTAACCCTTGACGTGGTGTTGTCAGCACCACGCTCTCCCAAGTGAGCTAACTGGTCATCCCTATATAGGGATCCAAACTCGTGGCCTTGGTGTTATCAGCACCGCACTCTTCGAAGTGAGCCACCGGCCAGCCCTAGAACTTTGTCTTCTTGAACTCTCCCCACCCTCTTCAAAGGTTTCTCAGTTTCAAAATTTGAAAACTCTGTCCATCTTAGTTTCATAGTTGTTAACTGTGTTATCTTAGTTATGTGAAGCATGGGGAAAGATGTGGGTTGGGAATCTGCCTCCAGGCAGATGTAATAAACACCTCTGAAAATTCAATGTCCCTTAGTTGTGTGTGTGTGTGTGTGTGTGTGTACACACACACACACACATATTTGCGGCTGACCTTGCAGGGATCTGAACTTGTGACCTTGGTGTTATAAGGCTGCACTAGTAGTAAATCTTGGGAGGTAAAAAAAACAAAACAAAACAAAACATTATATATATATATACATCCACGTACACAGACGTGCGTGCGCGTGGCAGGCTTTTGTTCCCACACTGGTTTCTGATGTGCAGTTCCTTTCTTTACCTGCATAGAATTAGTTCCTGACCATTGGGAAATGTGTTAGGGCCCCTTCCTGTGACTTGTTTCTGCTATTGGTTTCTGTATTATTCACTTTACCCTCTCCCCTCATTCCCTCTTCAGGGATTGCCTTAGTTCATTAAGAATTCTTCAACATCAATTCTTCAATGAGCTGGGGCATTTAATGGGAGGCAGCCAGACGTTGAGAGTCTGTTCATTTATTCATTATGTGGCAATGCACTCTTAGTACTATGTACTATGAACTGTTGGGTGCTGCAATTAGAATAATACTTTCCCGTAAGCAGCTCAGTCAAAAAAGACTGGGAACAGTTCAGAAGAAACACAACAACTAAATACAGTGTGATCTTTGATCCTGGATGAAAAAAGCTATAAAGACATAGGGGCAATTGGGGAAATTTGAATATGGACGTATGAATATTAAATTTCTTGAGTGTATTGTGCTTATGTAAGACACAGCTTGTTCTTAGGTACACGCTGAAGAATTTATGCATAATGAATCTGCAAAATGAAAAAGGAAATGTGGCAAAATGTTAAAGCTCCTGATCTAGTAGGCATGATAGGCATGGACAAAAATATTAGAACACAATGCACAAAGTGCCATAATTATAAGCAGACAGGACTGGCCTGTTAGTTGACTAGAGAGCAGTGTTAGAAAACCTAAGTCAAGGGTTCAGATCACCATACCAGCCAGCTGCAAAAAAAAGGACAAAGCAGGGCAACAACTTCTGGAAGTAGCAGGCAGTGAAGAAGGCTTCAAAAGAAACGTTTGAGGTTGGACTTTGAAAAATGAGAAGGAAACACAGGCACAAAAGCATGGAATTGAGAAAGAACCTCAAGTGGAGGGAAGGGACAGGGATGGAAATTGTATGTAATTTTTTTCTTCTCATGATTTTGTCTTCCCTTCCTGCCTTCCTTCCCCCCTCACCATACTTGGTCAGTGAGTGTGGTATGTATTCAGTTTCTCCCATTTTGGGCCTTATATAAACATATTTGGGTCTTATATAAACACTGGTAGAAAAAAAAAAAGATGTCTCTAGTCTTAGGTGTAAATGACACAGAACCAGATGGATTGTGTTTATTTAGGGAGTAAAAAAGATAGACTGGGGCCGGCCCGGTGGCGCACTGGATAGTGCGCCGCTTGGGAAGCGCAGCGGCGCTCCCGCCCGAGGGTTCAGATCCCACATACAGACCGGTTCCCGTCTCGCTAAAGCAAGCGAGGCGCGGGAGCAACACCGAGGGTTGCAATCGCGTTGCCGGTCCCCGGTCCGGTACGGGGGCAACCCTGGGGGTTGGGATCCGTTGCCGGAAATGGAAAAAAAAAAAAAAAAAAAAAAAAAAAAAAAAAGATAGACTGGAGGAACTGGCATTGGCAGACCTTATTTGAATAAAGTTGACCCTATTGATATGTTTAGGAATACCACCTAGGATAGTTCAGTCACACATCTCACTAGCTATCTGGTCCTTCATTCACCAGGTTCCCATATATATATATGGACACAGGTTCATATAAAACGGAACCAAGTTTTTGGGTATAGGCCTGAGAGCACTATGCACTGCAGAACATAATTTTTTTTCCTTTTTTTTTTAAAGATGACTGGTGAGGGGATCTTAACGCTTGACTTGGTGTTGTCAGCACCATGATCTCAGTGGCTCTCAAGTGAGCCACGGGCCAGCCCTGCAGAACATAATTTTAATAAGGGACAGCCCCAGAAAGTTATTTAATAACCCCAAGATACTGAATGGTGGCTCCCACTCTTCCTAATCCTGTTCCCGTGGGAGACTCAATTATTGTTATTCCCATCCTGATTCAAAAAACCAGTTTGCTCTGGCCACCCAGACTTCCCCTCAGGCTGCATTCTTGCCCATGAGCTCATTGTTTTGGCTTCTTATGCCTGTCTAAATCTACAGCCAGTGCCAAAGTTCTCAGCCTAGGGCCTCCTAACTAGCTGGGGCTGCATTCCATTCAGAATTTTGCCAGCCCCTTGCTGTTCTTCCCACCCTGGTATGGTCACATATGTATGTTTATTCAAGTAGCCGGGGACAAGGTGTGCTGGGAAAGACAGCCAAGGAAGTAAGGAAGCAGACAAGGAAAAGAATGTTTAATGTGTTTTCTGCTATTTTGATTAAGAAATGCCTTCAGTTGTGTGCCCTTAAAAAAGTTAATTTTCTTGCCTAGTAGAAGGAGATGGTTTTGAAATTTTTGCTTTACACTTCATAGTTTCCCCTACTGGGCTGGTTATGATTGCCAGGTATTCAGATTTGGGGGAGAGAAAGGGGTTTTCTTAGGAAACACTGCCTTCATAAGCATTTTACTCCTGAATCTCCTATGCCCAGACCTATCATGCATTCCTTCGCTCACACCTCCATTCCTTACGTTGCCTGGAACAATTCCCACCCATCTCCTGTCCTTGATGGATGTAGGGGGAGGGGAGACACCCTGCCTCTGCAAGGGAGCAGCTGTTAGGTTTCACTGCTTTACTACTGAAGATTCCTGAGGGGAGGAAATTTTGTTTATCTCCTTTGGCCCTGAGAGCCCAGATCTAAGGAAAGGTTCCGCACACCTCAGGTGGAGGGCTATGGGAAGGATGTTTCACTTTGTAAAGTTTTGGATTAACACTATGTGCTTAAGCAGTATACTCCTTTCCTTTTCTCTCTTCATCATTTAAAAACAAAACAAAAAACAAACCAGGTGGAGGCTGTGGGAGGTGACGTTTT